TAATCTATCTTCTTATAATTAAAATATATTAAATTTCTTAAATCTATATTAATTATCGCTTTTAATATATTTTAAAAAGTATTTAGAGTATAAATACTCGATATAATAGCGAAAGATATAATTCTTAGTTATAGCGATAATTATCTTTCTTATTCGAGTTATAATAGTTTTAGAAGTTATTTTATTAAGAGATAGAGTTAGATATCGTTTATAATCTATACACTATAAATTATTATTATTTATAAGATATTTTTTAATATCTTTTAGAGATATAAACTTATAATTAGAAAGGCTTATAAAAATAATATAAAGTCGAATATATATTTATAGCTTAATATCTAAATTATTCTTTAAATAAATTTTATTATAATTAAATATAAAATTAAGTTTAATAAATTTTATATAAAATCTATTAAAGAACTAAGTTATCTATTAAAGAAAGTTATAATTATATCTTATTTTCTTATAATAATTTATCTCTTTATAGATCTTAGTTAGCTAATTTATAACCTCGCTAATTAATATATAGAGATTTATAATATTTTTATATCTTCTATTTAGAGTATAAGAGATTACTTTTTTATCTATACGTAATAGAAGATAAGTAATTTAAGATATTTCGATAGAGTAGTAATCTTTATTATTTAATAACTTTTTCTTTATTTTTATTAATTAATTCTTCTATATAGAATTCTTATTATTAATAAAAAAGAAAGAATTTAATAGCTTAATAAACTTCTCTTTTTTATAAATAGAGAGTAGAATTTAAGTAGACTTTAATAAGATTAATACTTATATATTAGAGATAATTTATAAGTTCTTAAATATATCTAATTATAATGCTATTAGTTATTATTAAAGCTTTTTATTATATTCTTATAACTTTTTAATCTTAATATTAACTTACTTTAGATATTATTAAATCTTATTTTATTAATTTACTATCTTATTCTTCTTAATCTTAAGATTAATATATTATTTAATTATATCTCGAAATTAATCTTATTAATAGCGGAGATTATAGAATATAATAAGAAATTAATTAGACTTCTTATTAGTTTAATAGCGTAATTAATTAATATTAATAATTTATTAAAGATTTATAATAATTTTGATATTCTCTATTATATTATTAGATAGTAAGAATTATTAATTATTAAATATTTAAGTAAAGAGATTATTAACTTAATTTATCTTACTTAGTTATATATTCGAAATTTATAATAATTTTAAAATAAGAAGAAGAGAATTACGTTATTTCTTTTAAGTCTTTAATATTATAAATATTAAGTAAAGAAGAGAAAAGAAAAATTTCTTATAATATCTTTTATAAGACTTTATTATAAATTCGAAAAATAATATTATATTTTATAAAGACTTTTTTTCTTAATTTATAGATTATTTAGACTATTATAAAAATTATAAATAATTTAAATATTATTCTTTTAAATACTTTTATATTATTTAAAGAATTAGTTATATAATTATTAAGTTAAATAATAATTTCTTTAAATTTATTAGTTATATAAATAAATTAATCTAGTAATTACTTTATTTCTCTAACTAATTATAAAACTATTACGCTATTTTAATAAATACTCTTTATAATATATTATCTATATAATAGATTTATCTAGAAATATAATAATTTAACTTAATATCTTATTAAAGTCTCTATTAATAGATTTCTTAAATTCGTTTATTAATTTAAATATAGTAAATAAAGTAATCTAGTTATAGTATTAGAATTAATATAGATATAATATTAATATAGATATATTAAATAAGATAACTAGATATCGAATAATTATATAAATAGAGAATATTAGATAATAGTAAGTATTTCTACTAAGATACGCTAGGCTCTAATAGATTATAAAGCTAAATAATATATTAAGAAAGATATAAAATACGCTCGTAATACTAGTAACTCTAAAAAATTTATTTAATTATACTTTATAATTTTATATATTATAATTTCTCTAGCTTTTAAAATTATAATTAGCTTTAATTTTATAAAATAATTATTTATAAAGAGAATAATATTCGAGAGAAGTATTTTAATAGCTATTTTAAATACTATTATTAATATTTTTTTAAAATTCTTAATTTTTAATCTACTCTCTAGATTTTATTTAAAGAAATATTAAGTATAGCTATAAAGATACTCTTTATCCTTTATTATAAATAGCTTATATCTCTTTAAAATTAGCTTATCTAATATTAGATCTAATACTATTATAAGCCTTAACGCTACTTACGCTAAGACTTCGACATCGTATATATTATATTAGAATTTCTTTTAGAGTCTAATTTTAATAATATACTTCGTATATCTAGAGACTTAACGAATATAGATCTACTTTATATACTTCGAAGTTTTAATATTTCTTAGAGATTAATTCTATTATTAAATATATTATTAAATTTTATAACGACTCTATATCTTTTATAGTCTATGTTCGCTAGCTAATCGCTAGTAAACTACGCTCTTATAATAAAGATCTAAGTAATATAGAATATACGCTCTATCTCTTATATTATACTTTCGTTAATTATTATATAAAAAAAGAAAATTTAAAGAGTCTTTTAATTTTTTTAAATCTTATTTATAAATAATATAAGCTTCTTATATTATATAAACTATTTTTATCTATTCTAGCTAATAATAAAAGAGTTCTCTTTATAAAAATTAAAATAATAAATATATTTTCTAAATAGATAATAGCGATTTTAAGATATCTTTTTAATAAAAATAAAAATTATTAAAATAATTTTATTAGTTTTTTAATAGTTATATATAATAAAAAAGTAAAATTTTTTTATATATATAATAATAGCGATAAAGATTTTAAACTTCGAAATATTTATAGATTTTTAATTAGAGTTTAAATTCTTCTATATAAAAATATATAAATTAATATTTTTATAGAGTTTTTTCTAAATAATATTAATTTATATAAGATAAAATATTAAATATAAATATATTTTTATATTATTAAAAAGATAATTAATAGTTAAATAATAATTAATATTCTAAAAGTAATAAAATATACTTAAGTAGATTATTATATTAATTTAAATATTTCTTTCTAATTTTAATTTAAATAATTTATTTCTAATACTTTAAGATTTTATTTAATTTACTTTAATTAAAAATAGATAGAATAATAATTTTAGATATATTAAATTATAATTAATTAAATAATAAAGAAAAAAAGAAAAAAAACGCGTTATAGATATTCGAAGTATTCTCGATAGATTTATTATATTAGCTTCGAGAGGTTATCGAATAAATTTAGAGTTACTACGCTCTTTAATTAAATCGACTAAGTTATCGCGGATAAATAAATTAGCGTTCGCAACCATTAAAAAAATATCCTTATTAAAGTTCGCTCGACAGTCGGATAGCTAATAACATTTTTATTTTCTATTAAAATTTTAAGATTTTTTTTTTAAATTATAGAAGAAAATATAGGCTTCTAAAGAAAAAAAATTCTTAAATTTAGTCTTATAATTATTAAAGCGTAAGGGATTTAAATATCGCTTATTAAAGTTCGCTTATTAAAGATTACTTATCTATTTACTCGATAATCTTAATTAAAAAAAAAATTATAAATTTAATTCATAGACCTTTACTCGTAGAGTATATCTTCTTAAGAATTTACTATAGAAAGATACGAAGATATAACGACGACTTATATAGTTTTAATTATTTAGAATAATATAATTAGTTAAAATAATTAGATAGATTATATAACTCGTATAGTCGGCTAGCTAAGATAAGACTTCAGGATAATATAATTTAATCAAACAATCAAACAATCAATCAATCTAAGCGTACAAGCGGAGCTTTAAACTCTCACACCATCCGTATTGCCTTACACCAATCTAGAGTGAAAAAGATGCGCAGTATCATACCACAACTGGAGCGGTTCAACCACATCTAGTGCGCATGGGTAAATCGCAACGCAAAGTCTAGTCAATCACCCTCATACCAAGGTCTTCTCGGCGTTGTTTAGATACGCCCAGCTTATCAAAAGATACACGTCTTTATACTCCTAAGGCAACCTACAATCTCGTTCCTTCATCTTCCCCTCGTCAAGATCAGGTTACCGCTGGCATGAAGGCATTCAGGCGCTTGAGGGGGACAATAAGGCTCGTTGAGAGGGGATAGAGAAGGGGCTCAGAAGCTGCATAGTCCTCCATGCTTGACGTACGTGAAGAGTCTATGTTCGGTGAGTGAGAGTGAGGAGGGACCATCAAGGAATGGAGATAAGTCGGGACATGCCGCATCGATTTTGAAAGCAGGGGCTTTGGAAAGTTCTCGGACTGAAGAGGAGCCATGATAGGGCTGTCTGTGAGAACGCTTTGCGTGAAGGCTCGGCGCAACGTCAGTCGAATTGGTGTCAGAAAAGAGAAGTGGAGAAGCTGGCGATCGTGAAGGAGAGAAAGCAGGAGAGAGAGGAGGCGATAACGATCGTATGGTGTAGGGGTACAGAAATACCCAGTCTATGTCCCTGCGCGGTCCGTCGCCAGGGGATTTGGTTACTGTGAGTAAGGATTGGGGCTGTGAAATGCTGCAGACCGCCGGGAAGGTGACGTACAGGGAAGGCGTATGAAGGGTGGGAAGAACATACTTTCATGGAGAGAAGGTCATTGGCAGCAGGGGAGTGACGTCTCAAATGGAAGACTGAGAGACCCATCCATCGAGGTGAAATGCATTCGATCGTAGTCAAACACTCAAAGATGAATAGCAACCCATGCTTGAACAAGGGCCCTATGGAAAATGCATGCCGTCGTGGTCGCAAGAGCTGACCAGGAAGCTGGGTATAGTACAAACGCCAACATATGCTCCGCACTTCGTTAACCTGTGAGCCCTGATATGGTTTCGCCTCATTATCATAACCTCGTGGGACATGTATAGTGCTGAACGGGCGACCGAACGGACCGAGGCTCCATAACCATGGAAATCCACCATTTCAGAAGCCTTTGCCCTCTCACGAGTCGTGATCAACCACGTCCAAGGCCTCGAAATCAATGTCCACAGCCGTAGCATCAGGAGTCCTATGATCATCCCTCATGCCCATTGTTTGTATTGCCAGACTCGTATTCCCACATGAAATCGCCATATCTGAGGCAGTGGAGCTGGCATCAACGTCGTGCATCTCAGAGTCTGGGTTCTTTGGAGCCGCAGCTAGTTCTTTCGCCTTCGCCTTCGTCAACCTTCCATGTTGCGCCTTGAATTTTGCTGGGTGTAGAACTTGATGGAGTAAAGGCTTCTCGACGCGCCGACGTTGATCATTTGCTCTGGTGGAGAAATTGGATGCTGCAAATGCATTAATAAAGGCATAATACACCAGAGCCTGGAGCGCCGAACCTTCGCTCTTCCGCTTCACAGCATCAAGATTGTTGGCGTACTCCCAGATCCACGAGATCATGGCAACCCAATTTTGACGACAACCCATTATTTGGAAAGACTTGGCGTACTCCCCGAAAGTGTAGATGTTGATGACGCCGCCAGAGCTCGGTTTGAGGCGGAGGGGACCGAAATACACGTTCTGAAGGGAAGATCAGCATTCGAAGGTTCCCGCGGGACGGCATGGGTAGCATACGTTGAGTTCAATCCACCAATTGTTGGGTCCTCCCGAGCGGTATAAAGGATGGCTTGTGCTCATAGGCTTCTTGCGATAGAATCGTGGGTTGGTTCTTGGCCATAGTTCCAGTAACATCAACACGCCCTCTGACCAATTCCTATCCTCCGCGATCATCCCTTTGAGCATGCCTATGTGATCATCAGGATCGCACTCAAGCTCCTCACCCTCATCACCGTCACGTAAGAGGGCGTTTATTTTGCGCGTGTCAAGTGGTGGAAGCATGGTGTCGCTGTGTTTAGAGCAGGCAGGCTGAGCAAAGTAAGGTGTGCGGGTGAAAAGGTACCGTAACGTGGAGTTTTTGTTGTTGCCTAATCCTAAAGGCGCGAGAAGTGAAGCTAAGCTACCTTAATTGAGGCTAATTAAGACTAACCGTAAAAGGTAAACTCTAAGAATCGCGTTCCTTTCTTATTTTTATATTTCTTAATTTATAACCTCTCGATCTTCTAGAAATATTACTTATTATTATAAGTATATTATTTTTTATATAACTACTTATAGTTATAATATTTCTACTCTCTTTTAAAAAATAAGATTAAGTATTCTACGATATCGAATATAATATTAATATATATAAAAGAATAAAATAGAATTAATTTAAAAAATCTTAAATTTATATATATAGTTAATTATAAATTTAAGATTATTATATCTTTTAATTAAACTATTTAAATTAGCTCGCTAGCTCTCTTAAGCTCTCTTATTAAATATTTAAATATATATTATTTAAATTTAAAATAACTTTTTTATTTTCTACTAAAACTTTAAGTTTTTTTTTTTTTAAATTATAGAATATATTTTACGCGTCTTAAATATTTAAGAATTTTAAAATTTAATCTTATATCTATTATAAGATAAGAATCTTAATTATCGCTTATTAAAGTTCGCTTATTAAAGATCGCTTATTAAATTTACTCGATAGCTTTAATTTAAAAAAAAATTATAAATTTAATTTATAAATCTTTACTCGTATTTTATAATTAAATTTTTTTTAAATTTTTTCTTAATAATCGTAATCTTCGATTTTAATTTTAATTATTATTATATAATATTACTAGCTAGATTATTTATAATAGAGTTATAAAGAAAAGAAAAGTATTAAAGATATTTTAAATATCTTATACTCTATTAATTAAGTCGTTATATTATAAGATTAATCGTTACTATTTCTATTCGCGCTACTTAATTACTCGCGCGAAGAATTATTATTATATTTACGACGATAATATATATAAATAAAAGTAGCTAGTATATTTTCTAATTAAATAATATATATCTCTCTCTATATTATATATCTTATATAATATTATCTTAACTTTCTTAATTTATTAATATAGTTAAAAGATATCTTTTATAAGATTTTTCTTATTAATTATATATAGTATAGTTATAAGAGCGTAGTTTACTAGCGATTAGCTAGCGGGCATAGACTATAAAAGATATAGAATCGTTATAGAATTTAATAGTATATTTAATAGTAGAATTAATCTCTAAGAAATATTAAAACTCTAAGATATATAAAGTAAATCTATATTCGTTAAGCCTCTAATTATACGAAATATATTATTAAAATTAAATTCTAAAAGAAATCTTAATATAATATATGCGATATCGATATCTTAATATAAGTAGCGCTAAGATTTATAATAGTATTAGATCTAATAATTATCTTCTCTTCTAGACTTTAATTCTTAAACGTCTAAATAAAAATAAAAAATTTATTAAAAAACCTTTAAACTCTAGTAGAGAAATAAGAGAAAAGAATTAATCTATTACGATATCGTTTTAATAAGATAATAGAATTAATTATTACGCGCCGTAAGCGCGTTATTAATATATTATATAATAATTAGAAAAGAAGCTTAAGAGTTTTAAATAAGAAGACTCTAGATTATTTAATTTACGTCGCTTAATATACGCTTAGCGAAGTCTTAGCGAATAAGTATAAGTAAGCCTCTCGAAATTTAAGTTTAATTTAAAAAGTGCGAAAAATATATTTATTAATAAAAGATTAGTTTAAAGTATAATTAATATAAATATAAAGAATAAAAAACGAATATAAGAAGTATAAATATATATAATAAAATATATTATATTATAGATACTTATAAGAATATTAAAGATTTTTTAAAAGATTTTCGCTTTATTAAGTAAAGTCGCTTTTATATTTAACTTTTTCTTTATTTTTAACTAATTTTTAATATATTAAATCGCTATTAAGATTATATTAAAATATTTATAAATAATCTTAAATTATATAATAGATATAAAATTAAGAATATTAAGAATAAGAAAATAATAAATAATATAAGTATATTATAAGCGAATACGAATTATAGTATTAACGCTAATAATAATATATTTATTTATTAAAATCTTTTAAGTAAATTAATAAGTGCTATAAGTATATCTATTACGCGTTATTTATATAAAAATTTATTATAATATAATTATTATATAAACGAGTATAATAATAATACTTAATAATTATATTATTATTATTATTAAATATAATATTATATAAGCGAGAAGTATACTTAAAAGCTTATTATATATAGTAATAATAGATATTTTTATTTAATATCGATAGAAGTTTAGCGCTGCGAAGAGCGAGTATTATAAATTATAACTATTAATATATAAGAAATATATATATAATTATAGAGTCTTTAAAAAACTTATAATAGTAGTTATAACGTTTATATAATATATTAGTAAAGTATATATTTATTATATATTTATTATAAAAAGTATAGATTATTAAGAATAGTAAAGAAGTATTAATAAAATAAATTTTTTTTTAGAGAAAAAGTAAATATTATTATAGTCGTATATTAATTATATATATCGCGTATTTAAATTATAATACTAATAATTACTCTACGTATTATTATAACTATATTTAATTTATAAGAGTATATCTAATATCATCTATCGACGTTATATACTTTTATTATATATTTATAATATATTATATTTACGCTATATTATTATAAGAAACTCTTTTTCTTCTTTTTCTATAAAATTTAAAGAATTTTAATAAATCTTTTAATAATAATAAAATATTTTTTCTATATTTAGATTTAAGAATAAATCTTTAAAGAAAGAAGATAATTATTAGAAAAGAAACTTAAGAGTTTTAAATAAGAGAATCTTAAATTACTTAGTTTACGTTATTTAATATATATTTAATAAAGTCTTAGCGAATAAGCTTAAGTAAGTAATCTCTCTCGAGTTTTCTTTATTTTCTTAAGAATTAGTTTTATTATTAAATCGATATATAAATATATTTATTTTTCTAATTTCACATTACTATATAACTCTAAGACTCTTCGAGTCTAATAATAATAATATTAATATTATTTTCGAGAATAATATTACTTTTATAATATTAATTAATAATAATCTATAGTAAGCCGACGCGTTTAATATTAATATTTCTATAACGCTAATTAATAACCTCTATAGCGAATAATATTAGATTTAAAAACTTATAATAAAATCTTAAAAATCTAGTAGATAAAAGAAGGAAGATTTCTTTATAAGTAACGTCGTTTTTATAGTATATTACGTTTATAGCGAAGCAACGTAATAATAACCTTTATTATAGAGATTTAAAGAAAGTAATTAATAGAGCGACGTATTCGCGATAACGCTTTCGATTATTAATTAATAATAATAGTAGAAATAATAATAATAATTAAACGATATAGCTTTATAGATAATAGCGAAATATTATCGCGTTATTACTATCTACGTTATTAAGTATTACTCGCTAATAATAACGCTATAATAGAGAATATAAAAATCTCTTTTAAATTATTTATTTTTATTCTTTATAACTTCTAACGTTCTTTTTATAAGTAATTACTCTAGCGCTATAATATTAATATTAATACTAATATAAGTATAATATATCTTATTATTACTAGTTAAAAAGATATAATATAATATAAAATATTAATCTATTATATTATACTCTAATATAATATAAGTTATTAAGATTTATATAATTTTATATCTAATATAATATAGAATCTTAACGAAATATACTACGATATAGTATATCTATAATATTATATTATGAAATAGTATATATATAAAATATCTTATTAGAATTTCTATATTTAGAAGTATAAAGTAGCTATTCTAATTATTATTCTAATTAACGACTATTCTTATTCGATAAATCTAATATAATAACTAATACTATTATAGCTAATACTATTATAACTATTACTTACTTCTATAACTATTACTATTATAGCTACTATCGAAATATAACTCTCGCGTATTCTAGTTATCGTATTCTTTAGTCATCTAATTTTATACTATATTTAGAACCTGGCCTCGGAGAGGTTTTAAAGAATTAATTCGTTCGTTCTCATTATATATCTGATATTTTAACAGCTATTACTACTATAGCTATTACTATTTATTATTTAAATAGTCTACTATTATATAATAGCTAGCTATAATAATACTAGTTATAATAGTATTAGCTATAATAATACTAGTTATAATAGTATTAGCTATAGTAATATTAGCTATTATATCGAATTTATCGAATTTATCGAATAAGAATAGTCGTTAATTAGAATAATAATTAGAATAGCTACTTTATACTTCTAAATATAGAAATTCTAACGAGATATCTTATATATATATTATTTCATAATATGATATCACAGATATATTATACCGTAGTATATCCCGCCAAGATCTCGAATCTATATCAGAAAAATGAAATGATATTCGACCCTATTTATATCATACTCGGATACGATATAATATTACTTAATATGAAATATTCTATAAAATATATTATATCTTTTCGGCTAGTACTTATTATATTAGTAGTCTACTTCTCTTTATTATAAGTATCTTATTATTATTAATCGCGTTAATACGTAGACTAATAATTTTATAATATTCTTTTTTAATAATAATAATAACTTTAATAGTAAGTATATAGTCGTCTTATAGACGCGATTATTAACTCTTAACTATTTCTATTATTATCGCTTTATATATGTATTTATTAATAAATTCTAATATCTAATTTATTATATAGAACTTACTTTTATCGAGATAACGATTTATATATTTAAGATAAGTCTCTCTTCTACGATAATTATAAGATTGAAAGACGCGATATTAGCTACTATATTAAAATTCCTTTATATCTTTAAACGTAGATAAGAAAATTAATATAACGCTATTAT